TTCTAGTGTTTGAGTATCATTTATTTTGAAAATGTAAGGAGCAATTTTTTCACCTTGTTCCTTTTTTAGAATACTTCAGATAGTACTATAATTCTTGGGTTCCATAGTAGATCTGGTGTAAATTAACTTCATATTAACTATTTTTATATAGGAGTAATTCTATATATCACTTAATATTAAACAAATGGGAAATTTTAATAATCACATTACAAATTTTGATCCCTGAAATTCTTGGTAATACCAATGTTCACTTTGTCTGGTTTTGTTGCAGTCTGCCCCATATTTAAGAAAATTAAATGTGGATTCTTTGTAAGGGCATTTTTTCAATTTTTTAAATGTGTTGATAAATGATTGATCCTGAGCATCTAATACTAACACTTGTAAAGTTATTGCTTCAACTGAATATTGTGGACTGGTATTAGCTCTAATTTTACTATGCCAATTTTCAACATAGTAGTCATTGAAATTAATAAGTTGAGATTGAATTGTTTCAAGAAATAGATGGTTGTTGTCTTTCCAGTAGAAATAGTCAGAAAGAAAGGCAAGTGGTATTTTATTATAATTTTTCTATCTCCACCTTAAAGCAAAGCTCCATAATCTAAAAATTGTATCTACATATTCTTCAAAAGAACCTGACCAAAAAATAATAGCATAAATGTCCAATGCAGCTGGAATCAAATTATCCAAAATATCTATCATTGTTTGATATTCCAAATCTTTACACATGCCACCAAATTTTTTATATATTTCTGAGGAGACTTCAATCCAGGCAGACCTAAGAAGTTCAAGGAGTTGATTTATTCTCCAGAGTTGGGTTTTGCTGCCAATACTTTATTAATTCCAAAGACTGATTTATACATTATTTCAAAAAAGTCCCAATTCACCACCACTATATTTTCCTTTATGTTCAACAAGACATTGGGGTATTCAATATAAGTTGATTAACAAATCTAATTAATGTCATAATGTATATATATATATATGCGGATTTTTTATGGTACCCCTTTTTTTCTCTAAAAAGGAAACAGTGTAACAAAATATATTTTCAAATACGTTATATATTTCTAAAAATAGAAATGAAATAGATTTCTAACAAAAATAAATACACATCTTTAAAATAATAATAATATTTTATATATATATTTAATAATAATTTAGTAATATCCAATTAATTTTGATATAATAATCTACCATGTCAGATATATCGACTATTGATCAAATAAGATCTAAATTGAGAGCAGGAGAACTATTTTTAAAAGAGAAAGAACTGTATTTTGACACTGTCATAAAGGGGGTTACACGTGTCATAAAGGGGTGTTACACTTATGTTTTTAATAGTGAGTGCTGTAATTAATTTCTACTTTCTACCGAATATTTTTGACCATCAAAATCACCAAACCAATTTGGGCTGCATGTATAATTGTGACTATATAACTAAATATAATTATAAACTAGGAACCTCAAATTTACAAAGACATAGGTGTTGCAACTTAGATAATCAAAACAAAAATTACTTCATTTTTGCAAAAAAAATGGAGCACTAGCAAATGTTAAAGAATTAATAAAAAAAATCAATAAATTTTGTCTGTCATGATTTGAGACCATTTGAAATAATATCTGGTAAAAGTTTTCAAGAATTTGCTCAAGAATTAGTTAACATTGGTTCAGTATATGGTCTTTATCTATTGATGAATTATTACCAAATCCTACAATAAATCTCATGTAATATAGTAAAAATGGCAGAATCAATCAAGTCAAATTTAAGCACTAAATTAATTAAAAAATAGGTGATGCATTTACTACTGATTGCTGGACAGATGACTATTGAAAAATCAGCTATATATCTTTGACATAGATGGTTGGGCTTTAAAAAGAACAAATATTAACAGTTTCAAAATTTTCAAATACTAGTCATACAGCAGAAAATATTAAAAATAATATTTTTAGTATTTTGAAAAAATATAATTATCACCAGAAATTAATATGAAGAAATACACGTTTGTTATAGATTCTGCTGCTAATTTTATTGCAGCATTTAGAAACCATGGTCACTTGCCTTGTATATCTCATAGGTATATATTTTATATAATGTTTTTATAAAATTTTCTAATAAAAATTAAAGTTATTTTTTCTCTATTTTAGAATTAATACTGTATTGGAAACTTCTTTAAAGAGAATAATTTTTTGCTATTTCCTTCTATTATTCAAACTGTTAAAGGATGTAAATCATTGGTAACATACTTCAAACAAAGGTCTTTATATTGTAGATTGGAAAAATCACTTAAGCAAGAATCAGAAAGTAGATGGGATAGCAAACTAGAAATGTTAGAATCAATTTCAGATCAATTTGAAATGATATATGATCTTTTGACTGAGAAAGATCAATTAGAAAGAGTTTAAATTATTAATATTACTATTGTAGAAATATTAATTAATTTTCTGAAAAAACTCTTTTAATTCATTGTCAAATATCTTCATCAGATGATGAAATTTTAAAACAAATCAAACTGGTAGTTAAAAAATAATAGATAAAATTAAAATTCTTGATTTATATAAATTAGCTTTATTCTTTGATCCTTAGATGAAGCAGTTGAAAATTTTGGAATCTTATGATGCTGAATGGATAAAAAATGAAATAAGACACCAGTATGAGATTATTTTGTTTCAACTTGCTAGTGATAAAAATAACGATGATGGTAGTGGTGAAGGTGATATAAGACCTATTAAAAGAAAAAAAATCTAATGTTGATTTAACAGATATTAGTCAGTTTTATGATTCAGATAATGATGAAACTGAAGAAAATGAAATTGATAAATATTTGTCTTCAAAAGTACAAAAGGAAGTGGATTTAAACATTTTAGAATGGTGGAAAGCTCATCAAGATCATTATCCAAAACTATCAATATTATTATGTTATTATTTTTCAATTCCTGCTCCAGTACATCCAGTGAAAAGGAGTTCAGTGCAGCTGGTTTAACAATAAATGAAACCCAATCAAATTCAAGACCAGAAACAGTTGATAGTGTTCTTGTTTATATAATGTTTTCAATAATAATTCTTAATTTAAAATTTTTATTATTGTACTTTTTATATTTTTTTAAATAAAAAAAGATACGGGTATATTCCGGATTTGGTTAAAATTTGGAAATTTTTTTTGGGTTTGGATATAAAATTTTGAGAAACGGGTTTGGGTATAGGTACAAAATTTTTATATCATGCAGGTATGAGTTGGATACGGGTTCAATTATTGTTATCCATGTAGGCCTCTACTAATGTGTTTTGATTTTCAAAGATTAATGTCTTAAACGAATCTCTTCAATCCTTACAATCACATCACCTATTGATAATTTACCAGAATTTACTGCTTTATAATAACTTATTGAATCTGCAAAATTTACAATTGCATACGGCTTTTGTATTGAGTAAATGATATATATATAAAAAAATGATGTATACATATATAATATATTATATATAACACTTTGAAATTTAAATCTATTCTTTCTTATTCATATTATTATCAATGTTTATATTTACCAAAGATCCATCCTGCTGAACTTCTATCACAGGCCCAAAAGAACTTTCAAGGTATTTCTTTAAAACTAGTGCAGTGACAGGTCGTACCACATTACCAAGAAACAACTTATATTTTCCTAAATTGATCGAATCTGATTGATAAATTGAAAAAGATGGGATCATTTAAAAAAACTAAAAAAGTGATTTTACGATACGTACTGCCTCCATGATTCCTATCCCTATGCCTATCACTGTTATACATCTTCTTTTCACTCGATGTATTCCTTTCAGTAGAAATTTTGGAGATTTTCTTCTTATCGTTCGATATATTACCATTACCATCACTAGACATATTATTATTATTTAATGTATGATTACTATTACTGGATATGTTATTGGACGTATTATTATTCGATACATTATTGTTATTACCAATACTACTACTACTATTATTACTATTAGTACTACTATTACCACCACCATTCGATACAGAAACGTTGTTATTATTATTAGCTAAAGATTGTTCATTGTACGAGTGCAAAAAATCAAATTCACTACTTTCGTCACTAACACTATTGTAATCAGGAAAGTTATCAAAAATCTTATCAGAATTTGTTGTTATTGTTGCTGTCGCTGCCAGGTAGTCAAAAGAACTACTACCATCTTCACCATCAGAATTGTCATAAATTCTAAAGCCAATACTATATTTGGCCTTTATTCTCAATAACTCATTTTTCGTATCAATCAAATCACGTTGTGCTTTAACCAAAAGATCTTGGTAGTTTATTAATTTGTTTTGTTGAAATTCTATCGTGTTGTTTTTTTGTTCAATTAATTCTCTGCAATTTTCACACCTGGTGGCGGTGCTCAGTTCCATGTCGAATTTTTTTTAAAGATATGAAGATCTTGAATATGCATTCTGATGATCGTGGAACAAATATAAAAAAATCTATTACAGCATCAAGTAAAAAAAAGAAAAACATAAAATGTAAGATTTTTTATTAGCAAGATCTGCTGAAAATCTTGACGTGATTTTATCAATCCACTCGCCCCAACTAAATACATTGTCATGTGCTTGATTTTCATTATATAATATTAAATGTATGTATTAATGGAATTAATATATAATTAGAATTTATATACCATAAAAAAAAACACATTTCTTTCTGAATCAACAGGTATGACATAACTTCCATCTGGTGAAATTGACTTGACAAGCATAGCCAGCAACTATATGACCTATAAATCTTTCTACATTATCTTTATTTGCGGACGGCAGGATATGGTTTTCTTAATTAAAACATTCAAGAGTGGAGGTATCATCGTTATTAATAATAATCAAAACCAGAGAATACTTAATACAGATGTCGAAAGTACAAAGTCAAAACAATGAAATTAAGTCAGACAGCGCTTAAATGGAAAAAGACAAATTTTCAAATAGACCAGGCAAATTAATAATTTTGGTTCACCTAACATAAAATTTGAAAATGACACGACAAGCCCAGCCTGTTTTTCATCAACCATATAGTTTCCGAGTTTTAGTTTTTGGCTAATGCCTAAAACTCCATCTTTAATTTATACAAATCTATATATGATGATGAGCTCAGATATTATATAAAGAAATTTTTTGCTTGTAGATTGATTATCACAATCAGGTGTATGTATTAGTAAAGAATAACATTCTGAAAAAAAAATTTATTTATTAAAAGAATATCATATCAATTTTATAAATGAAAAAACTAAACAATATAAATATAAATTCAAGTGGAATCATTTTTTAAAAATCTGGGATCACCATATCAATCTGTCCAGAATCTAGGTAATGGATGAAATATAAATTTTAATTAATTAAGTTGGATATCAAATGTGTTAGTATCAAAATTTAGATTAGATGGAAATACCTGAAGTTTTAAGTTCTTGAGATTTCTCGTGTTGACTTTGTTTTGTATTACCTAAAGCTTTAGAAATTTGTTCTTTATAGTTCATTAATCTGCTAAAATAAAATGCATCTTTATTCTTTTCTTTTTCAACATACGGTTCAGCTTTTGCATTAATTTTGTCAGATTCTTTAAATTTTGAACGAAGTTTTTTATTTTCTTCATACTCTTCATCAGTAAAATACCAATATGTATTATTAACAGGTGAATAGTATCCATCTTGTTTTAGCATCATCATCATCCAATGTAAGAATTGATCGTGAACCTCTCTGGAGGTTGGTCTTTTTAGCGGATCCTTGTCAAGACATTTCATGGCCAAATCGACATAGGGTTTTGGAGTTCCTTTAGCAAATTCTGGTCGTAAATTTTCGCAACAAATCGGAATTACCAAATCTTTGTTATGTTGTACGTTGTAAAATGGCGGCCTGCCACTTGAAAATTCACTCATAAGAATGCCAAAGCTGTATATTTCTGACTTGTCCGTATATGGCTTTCCGAGCAACACTTCTGGTGCTATATATGGTAATACACCCACCACATCTCCATCTTCTTTTTTCACTGTTTTATTAATGGCTCTCGACAATCCAAAATCTGTGATTAATGATTTTACCGATGAATATTCATGATAAGTGAATGTCTTTTGAAGGATATTTCCGCTGTGAAGGTCACAATGGATTAATCCAAATTCATGCATTTGTAACAATGTTTCACTTATGCATGCAAGACTTGTGATCTTTTCATTCCATTTATAATCTTTATTAAAGCTGGAGTAGAGATGTTCTCTTAAGCTCCCTTTATCAGCAAATTGCATTATCAAGATGTATTCTTTAGAATCAGGATCTTGTGATATTGCATAAAGTTTTATAATATTATCAGCGTTTGCTTGACATCTATAATGAACTTTCAACTATGATGATTTTAAGGGAAAAATTCAATAATATTTATCAAGGCCAAAAGAAAAAAAATATATGATTTCTTACTTCTTCAAAAAATTGTTTAAGTGTATCCATGGCAACCAATAAAGTCTTCAAAATAACGTGAATCTAGCCACTGCGTGACTTTAATCCATCGATCTTCAATTTTGTTCAAGGCCCTAAAACCGTCAAGCCAAATCGCGGAAAAAATTTCTCCAAAGCCACCTTGTCCAATTTTTTTAATATTTATTAATCTTTCAAAAGGAACCCATTCGAGAAAATTGTTTTTATACGCGCATCCCTTTGCTTCAAGTTGAGTCTGCCTTATAAAATTGTCAATCTCTTCGTTATTGCTCGTCCATCCCTTAGACAATTCATCTGGATCACATGTTTGACACCATGCATAATTTGTATTGTATTCATTACAACTTTTGCATATCCCGTATTCTTCTTCTCTTGTAAAATTTTGTCTTGTTATGGGTATGCTTATTGCGGTGTCTGAATTATCCAGTTCCACCATTTGACTATATACGTCCATTAAAGCATCGTTCAAAGTTCATCTTATTCACAGTGTAAATAGGTAAACCAATTTCTTTTGTTACACTTCCAAATGTAATTGTATTGATATTAAATGCTAAATAGTTAGTTATCTATTATTATCCTCCACTTCATGGGGGATAATCATTATTTAAGAAACAATATAAGGTTTAACATTACATTACGCCATAATAATTTCTAGGAATTTAAATTCCGGAAACTACTGTCGTGTACTGCATATTAGAGGGATAAAAAGTGTTACACCTTGAATTTCACAACATATCGGCGGATATGAAGTATTTGCCAAGGGTATGTAATATATACACCAAATGCAAGTCAGATGTTTGAATCACATAAAATACAATGCCAGGTGATATATTATATCGTAAAGGTTAGAAATGAAAAAATAAAATCCACGAAGCCTTTATTGACGAAATGAAAAATAAAAATACAACTAATACTAACACCCCAAATATCAAATATTATGATGTGGATACAGTCGTTCTTGTTTTATCAGAATCACTGTATATTTATTTACTTTAGCCAATAAAATTTCAGTTTTAAATGTTAATAATTGATGATACCTGACGAAATGTAGTTTATTGCAAAGAGCATATTGGCGAAAAGGAAAAGGAGGTAAAAGTTGACGAAAAGAAAAATTTGACAAAAAAAAAGGATGGCGAGAGAGAAAAATGTACAAAGAAAATTTTTGCAATAATAATATTAAACTTTTTACATTTTTGTTTGAGTCAAATTTGGATAAGCAATTTTTTACAAGTTTTTTTTGCTCTTATAATCAATTAATAATCTAAAGTTATATAACTTTTACGCCAAAAAAATTTAAACATAATTTCATGTGGATATGACTTATAAAAAAATTTCTTATACCCAAAATAATAATTAATTGCTATGAAGCAACTAAGTGAACTAACTTTTTCTAAATTAAATAAATGATAGTATGATGTTACATTTAGAAAAATTTAAATTAACTGATTTGTAAAAAACTACCTCTTGGTGAAGAGAGCTTTGGCCAATTTATCTCAACTGCAGCAGACACAATCAACCACAACATCCTCGATCAGAATCAAAGCAAAGATTTCCATTTCAATCGCTATACACCTCAATATGGTCTTGGTGAGAACGAATATTACAACCATCCTTAAAGTAATTCAGGGATAGCCAATTTCAAAAAAGGTCGAGTCAATAAATTTTTTCAAAATTCACACAAAGGTGGCTGTGTAAAAAGAAATTTCCTCCCGTAGAATGCCTTCGCACAAAATCTAAGGATTGACATTACCTCACGCAATTGTCAAGATCGATGAAAATATGTTTGTATTTTCTGGTCAAGTATACGTAGCTATGAGCAGAGTGCCTTCTTGAGATTCCGCTTGAGACCTTAGATTTCGACTTTTTTTTTGTATAAAAATTGATCAATCCGTGATTCAAGAATGAAAATCATGGACCAGAGAGGTCTTGACCAAATTAAAAAGTAGCAAAAGCAATTAATATTTAATTAACACATATGAGAATCTCAAATTAAATTTTTTTTCTGTATTATTATATATTAATAATAATAAAGTTTCATTGCGCATCCCCTGCTAAAATCTTTTTTATGAATAAAATTGTTTTCATGCTAAAAAAATATTATAAACCAGTTATTAACAAACCTCAGAGCTGTGATAACCAAATGGACAATTAAACCCTATTGTTTAATTTACAAAAGTGCTTTTATAAGAATATATTTATTATTATTATGTGTGAAATTATTTCGTCGCGCGTAATTAGTTAATTTCGTAATTACGTATTGCGTATATATTACCGTAAAGTCTCGTAAGATAGTACAACTGTTTACAACTTGTACAAATGATTTTCAATTGTTTTAAATATAAAGTAGGAATGCTATCTTTCGGGGGTGTTATCTTTCGAGACTTTATGGTACATATTACATCTTTGGCAAAACAATTACCATTCCATTTATAATTAAATTTTTGTAACAAATAAAAAGATTTTGATTAAAAAAAATTTCATGCCAAAGACCACATGAAAGACCAATCTTTCAGCCCAATGAAAAAAAAACTGGTCTTTGAGACCAGACTGGATCGGACCGAACCAACACTGCCTAGATGGTTGGACTAAGTTTTCACTCACAAAAATAAATGGTTAAATTAAACAGCAGTTCACAAAACCTGAACGAATGTTTGTAATGATTTTGTTAAATAACTTGTAGATTGGTTAATAACCTTCAAATTGGTTAAATCTGCAAGTTACTTAACTAATTAAAGTTCAAATAGTTCAAAAAATGATTTGAACCAATTAAATTGCCAACGCTGACCATAATGGACTAGTACCATGACCAACCCTGGCTGACTAAATATTATTTTTTTTAAAAAAAAGAATGGTGGTTATCACCACAACTCGCCATTCTAGTTTAAATTAATAAAGTATAATGAAACTTTGGATTGCACCACTCATTTCTTACAACGAATTAAATGTGAAACATTCAATTTATTTTCTAAAGCTAAAAATTTGATGAAACATTAACAAGCGAACGTCTAAAAAGCGTATCTGTATAATTTAGCCTGCAGTTAATGTTGCTTGTCGAAATTAGAGAGTTTCTGCATTTCGAAACTATGTATAAAGTTTTGCTTTTCGGCATCAGGCTAAACGGGTTTTGGGAAGAACCTTAAGATGGATGGATTGAATGAATTTAATAATTTGTTAGGATTCAAGTATCTATATAAGCACCCAAAATTCTCATCAACTTCCAATTTCTAATTACACAAAAATTAATTTAATCCAAACTGTCCAAACAGTAACTAATATTAAATAAAAATATATAAAATACTATATAATCACACACTTCAAATTTTCAACAATGAAACAAGCTATTTTAATTGTGCTTTTTGCAGCTCTTTTCTCTAGCACCTTTGTTGGCGCAATGAGTATCGGTGGTGTAAATGGACTCTCAAGAAGAGGTTTACGTATGTGTCTTAATCTATTCTAAAAACATCACAAATGATTTTTTTGCAAATTTCTCATTTAAATTTTTATGTAAATTTGTACCTTAATATTTATTAATTGTGCGTGCACATTTATCAGTGGATGCATGTAAAAGTAACGATGATTGTATTTCTGGTCAAGTATGTGGTACTGATGAAGTGTGCCATCTTAATCAAGGAGCAACTTGCGACATCAACTCTGACTTTTTTTGCGTAACTTCTATTTGTCGTATTGTTGGAAGTGATACCCTCAAATGTCAACTTACTGATACTCGCCCTACTAGAGATGTTTGCTTAGTGGATGATGCATGCGAGAGTAAGAAATGTACTAAAAACTTTTGCGAATAAATATATTATTAATTTTATAATTACGCATTTTAGATATACAGTAAACTATTTATTACTATTCTATTATTATTTCATTTTGCACTTAATCATTATTAGTTGAACTAATAAACAATAGATAAATTATAATACTACTACCTAACTTGAACTTTTCTTTAATCTCCATATTTTGTTATTCGTGCATTTACTTCTCCCTCTAAAAAACATATAAGTTATAGTATAAAATTATGCTGAGCTTATTCAGCTTCTCAAATTTAATTCTAATATACTAATCAAATTACAAAGAAAAGCCTTTCTTCCGAGCAATTATATAAAATTAAAGGCGTTATTTGAATAATTAAATCAAATTTTTTATTGGTTTTAGATGAATCTTTTATTAAATTATTTGTTTTAGAAATAATTTAAACAAACACCATAATCAACCCTTTGATAAACACTGATAATCCCGTCTTTGTGTTTCATGAACTTAAAGAGTTTATTATAAAAACACCATCAATTCAAACATATCGGTCAATAATAAATTTTCTCATTACATTTGCCATGAAATTTTTTGCGACTACATCAATGTTAATATTAAAAGCGATTTTTCTTTAATTAGTGGTATAAGAAAGAAATTAATTGGAATCGGCACTATGATACATTATCCTTTTTTGTATAGAAAGTTTTTTTTGAATTCTCTTTTTGAAAAAAAAACCCTTCTTTTTGAAAAATCTGAGGTTTTGCAAATTTCAACTCACTGTAAGCAATAGCATCTTTTCTCCGCTTTGCTGAAGCTTGAGAATGAGAGGTACGGAGACGAGCTAGCTAATGAAAAATCTCTGTTTTTTCATTTCAAACTTAATTTTTTGGTAAGGAATTTTTTGCTTTCGTTGAATAATAAATAAAATTATTTTTCGGACATAATTTATTTACCTTTAATACCTTTTCCGCGTGATAAATGTCTTTTACCGTTTATCATGCAAATAATAAAATCTTTTTTCCAAGCAAACAGAGAATGTTTGGTTAGCGTGATAAAGTTCACTACTGACTGATATGGTTTTTTTTAATTAACCAATTTACAACCGAGAACGCAACGTAAGCTTTGTGCTTTCTATCTTTATTTATTATTATCGCATATCGGATCAAGTCAATAGTCTATTTTATTAAATTCGAAAGAACGGCCACACTTTTTTGTCAAACCATTGTTATTTAAATGATTAGCAAAAAAAATCACGTATACAAAGAGACGAATTTAATAAATTTAATCTCATTTAAAGACGCCATAAATAATTGGGCTGGTAGTTACCATTGCCGTAAATAATTACGGCTGCCACGACTGCTGTAAGCAGTTTCAAGCTTAGTATAATTATTGTTATAAGGATTACTGATCATACTGTAGTAGGATATTCCATTTTTATTTATTCGGAATTGTATTTTCTTTAATTAGTAAGATTATATTCAGGGGTAAGGGTTTGCAGCAAAAATTTTTATAAAATGAGTGAAAAAGTTTTACACATTTTATTTCTTTGTTTGTAATAATATGTAACATCCAACAACCGTTCTTATAAAACGATCCACAAGATATGGCAATCCATTTGTAATTAGAATTGTAAGGAATAAGCAACTTTTTCAACAAATTTTTTAGTGCATATGTAATTAATGAAAAGTAAATTTCTCCAATTCAGCAAATATATATATATATAAATATTTAAAAATGTTGTTATTTTAAGAATTATATAGCTAATTATTTTTTATGTTTTTTCTGCTATACTAAAGTATAAGTATAAAGAATAATGATGGATGATATGTATGTAATAACAACTATAAATTTAATTTTACTCAATGATGACATTCTTCATCTAACCAATTTCCCACCTTATCAATATACAAATGCTGATGAAAACATTCCAACATCTCTACTAATTTTTCTGGATCTTTTATATTTTCAATAATTAACAAATTGCATGCTTGATTCTTAAAATCTATCCATCTATTTGCATCCTCCATATGATACTTCCTTACAATCCAGAATTGTCCTTCCATTCCCATATAAGGTTGTGGGCGAAACCTCCTTAGTAATTGCTGAAACCATGGCAAAACTATATTAAATCTTATCAAAAATCCTGTTGAAACTATGCCGAAAGGCGAAACCTCAAAATGCGAAACTCTGCTGAAACTCTAATAAACAATTAATGTGTAACCTGCCGAAACCCTGCTGATTGATTTCTGGATGAGTTTTGGCAAGCAACCTTATTCCCATACTAAAACTATTAAACCATGGTAAAAATTTCCGATGAGGTAAAATTATGTCAATCAAGCAATAAAATAAAAATTCTAAATAATCTTGATGTGTGTAAAGGTACTGTTCATCTCTGTAAGCAGCATCAAGATAATTATTTGATGCAAAAAATCTGGTCATGCTGCCATTTGATACTGTTGTATTTTGTTCTAATTGAAATTCTCTAATCAGCAATGATACCATGACCATTTTCATCAATGTAAATATTCATGGGAGTCACATCTCAATGACAATAACCTATATTTTTAACTAACTCTAAAAATTGGGCTATATCTTTTATAGCATTATGAATGGAAAGTGCCTCTTCTGGTAGCAGATCTGCTAAACATTTCTGATAGAAAGGTATTACAATTGCATAATAGTTCTGGTTTTCCAATATGACATCTCCATGGTCTATTACTGTGGTATTCCCATCTCACCTTTTGAAATACTTTCATTGATAAATTTTAAGACATTGTATTCATGTGTTAATCTTTCCTTTCTCCCAATTTTAGCTACAATATCACTGCCATATGAATCTATAATGCCTTTAAGAATCATTGGTTTTGATCTTGAATTATATCTTATGATATGTAGATCCTTTATTGCAATATTATGAATACTAATAAAAGGTGGCATATTAAACAGGTGATTACTACCAAGTTGTGAAGGGAGAGCTCTAAAAAGACAGTATAAAGTCATGCGACCCACATCCATTTGTTCAATCTTGATGCAAAATAAATTGATCAGTGTGATATTTAGAACCTGAATTTAAGAAGTGTTGATACATACCTCCGATCTCAAAAATGTCAAACCATTATCATTTTTTATTGCTTTAAACAAAATAAATCCTTGATCAAAATCTGTAAGAATAGGGAACCCAAATGATCTTGTTGGCTGTGCTTCAAACATTGATAGAAAACGTTCATGAAGTTGTCCTACACCTCTATATAGTTGTTCATCTTGATTTAGGTTTCCTTTAAGTTCAATAAAGAAAATTGTTTGATACCAACAAAGCACAGCATTTTTTC